GTGCAATAACTTTTAGGAAGAGCTCAATTTTAATAGTGCATGGTTGTATTATAGAAGCTCTCATGTGCAATAACTTTTAGGAAGAGCTCAATTTTAATAGTGCATGGTTGTATTATAGAAGCTCTCATAATTTAGTTTGGACTAATTAAGATCTTTATTAAAATACAAAGACGAGGAAGAAATAATCATATAGTAATACTTTTATGCAGTGAAAATAATTTGTTTCCATGTATAACATGAGAATGCTGCGAAAATGATGCAAAAAGGTGGGAAATATAAATTCTATAGGTTTCCCTCCTTTTATAAAAAATATAAACTAGCCTCTTGGTGCACTCGCTCTCTACCCAATATCGGAACTATGAGTTAAACGAACATAGATCATTTTAGAAATTTCTAAACTTGTCCTTTAATGAGTTTAAATTATTATAAGATTATTTCTTGTATTGTTAAAAGTAGGAATCACACGTGGCAATACATCAAAGTTTGTGATAAGGAAGGTAGTTTCCTTTATGACCGTGTTTGGTTTGAGGGAATAAGTGAAAAAAAAAGTGAAAGATAAAAGAAAGGAAAAGAAAATAAGAATCTTTTTGTCATTTGGTTAGCTAGAAAAATTGTAAAGAAAGTTGAAGGAAAACCTCATGGAAAGTAATATCTCTTGTTATATATAATCTATGTTAATAATTTTTTAAAAGTTATTTTGATCTATACAAGAATTCGATTCAAGTGTTGTTCGTTCTGTATAAGAACATATCTATCGGTTTTTCTATAGAGTGTCCATGGGCACTCTATAAGAGAGGAGAGTGATAGAAAGAAATGAATGAGAAGAGGATCCCAATGCAAATCAGGGGACCCCCTACTCATTCATTTCTCACTATCTCTCTCCTCTTTTATAGAGTGCCCATGTGCATTCTATAGAAAAACCGTAAGTTAATTAGTATATTATTGTGTAAACAAAGCTGGAAATATATTTTTTATCAATATTAGTCCCACAAAATCTTTCATATTCTGAAACAAATCCCTCAAATGATTGAATTGTTATTAGGTTTCCGATTCTTAAGTTATTTTAAAATTAGTCCTTCGAAATATTTAAATTTGCTAGTTAGCCCCCATAAAAATAACTTTGAATTTAGTATCTCCAATTAAGAGTAGAAGTAACAATGAAGAGGTTAGCTTGAAACAACTTATGAAAATTGGGGACTTAATAGCAATTTCAATGTTTCAGGGACTAATCTCATAATAACTAAAAATTTGGAGGAGCTAATAGAAATTTAACGAATTGAATTCATTCCAAAATGTGAAAGATGGCTGGAGAAAAAACTTTTACTTATGCGTGCACAAACGTATGGGATGTGGGGCCCTACATGGAGCAAATGAGCATTTTATGCACCTAGCTAACTCCTGAAGGAGCGGCGACTGATTCTGAGTTGTTCGTTATACAAAATAAGAGGGCAAAATTATAGTTTTTATATATTTTATAACCGCGTTCTTTCAATAACTCTGTGGCCCAATGGATAAGGCGCTGGTCTACGGAACCAGAGATTCTGGGTTCGATCCCCAGCAGAGTTGTTTATTAAAATAAAATTATTTTCATTTTGCCCAGAGATACATACAGAACAAGCATATCATCGAAATTAATTTACTCTTAAATTGTTGAATAAGCATTCAATAGAAGAAAACCTTATTGCAAAGCCTGCTTGGACTCGCGAATTACAATCTCATATCACCTCACTACATGCCAGCTGACGATAATAGTCTTTTATTGTTGGTCGCATTTTGATCGCAGGCTAAGTTTTGAAAGGGCACTCGATTTCCATCTCGCAATCACCTGAAAACAGCAAAACCTCGGTATTCGCGAAATTTTTTTAACGGAGCTGCCAACGGACGGTGAAGTACATCTTCCTACCACTTACATAGCAGGTCCGATCAAAGACGCACACAACAAATCATATGGTTCAACTATAAGCACGCAGGAAATTTACTGAAGCGGCAACCAAATGTGCCTACCATAAAACTCCGAGGCACAATTACACAACTATAAGCTTCCTCTGTTCACTCTTTACATTTATAATCTCCCTAACAAGAGGATAGTATCTTTTTACTCTCATCAAACCGTTTCGTTTCTGGTTCGTAGGCATTAGACAACACAACCTTTTGTGCCCCTATAATAGCTAGGCGCTGCACTGAACTGGGCTCTTCTGCCTCCTCTCACCCAAGCTGAAGCTCTGGCCAAAGCTCGGCAAGCAACATTGTGCAGACTTCTCTCCTCCCTTCTTCCTGTCATCTCTACTCGGAGTAGCCAACTCGTTGTTTCTCACTGGGTTAGCTCTATCAAGAGGTTGCTCAGGCTTTGTTTGGTTCGAAAACTCCCCTTCTCTTCCGGCTTCTGGTTTCTCGTTGGAAGCATTTGGTTTTGGGGTTTCTTGGAAGAGGTCACTGAGTTTCTTTCGACCAGTTGGAGATGGTTCGCTGTTGGAGTCTGTGAATTTGTCGGAGTTTGCTCCTGAAAGAGTGGTCGGTGAGCTGTATGAAGTGCTGCCTCGTGAAGGAGTGAAATCTGCGTACAAAACATTGGAAAATGAACGACCAATCAATGCCTCACTTAGACTGAAAAACAAATGCAATTATTTGGAAAATATCTAATTAGGCTATTCGCCATATTGAGAACTCGATATGGTAATTCAAGTTATAGAGTTCTGAAATGGAAGACATAGGATGAAACCAAGTACTGCCAAAAGTTGTACATACCTAAATGTTTGTTTAAGAAAATCATAAGGCTGAAACTGGGAAAATATGGAGATCAGTAGAGCAGAATGGTAACTTTAAAGTAAATTTCAAGAATAAATTTTCAGAGGGAGACAAGTAATCCATGATATGTAGGCATTTTAGATTCCCGAAACCTATCCATACATTTATCTTGAATTTCTTCTACTTTAAGGTAAGCGATCAAGTTTTTTTTTTTCCTTCGCTCATCTATCCTGCAGTATACAACACATTATCATGTAAATAAAGAACATTTAAATCAGGAATATTCGAGATTCTGAGTAATCTGACCTCCATTCACACTGAAGAAATCATCTTCACAATCTGAGTCTAACCATGCTCGTGAGTCAAAGAATGTTTCATCCTTGCTTCCTGCTTTAGACAAACACACAAACATTTAAAGGTAGAAAACTGCATGGGCATTATAAGATATGTCGAATGCATATCCATGTCATGAATTCTATAAAAGGACTTATTTCAAGACCATTTTTGTTGCATATACTTGCCTTGCCAGAAATTTGTCTCAACCAATTGATTGGCTTCTCGGTTTTGGTATAATGGTATCTAATCTATGCTAGACAAATATTTTAACCGTTTTGAAGGAACAATCAATGATGTCCATGGCGATCAGTGACTTAGTTGGTGATGTTCCTTTGCAACTTCTCCAGTTCACTCGAATTATCATCGCCGAAATAAGTTTCAGTCAAAAGGCTTCCACAGGCTCAAATGCAATTATTCCTCTAAGCAACGTCTGTAAGAGAGTGAGAACATATTGTTTTCATTGGATTGGTTGCAAGCAGATACTTTCATTTAAATTTTAATCCAGGGATTGGAGTCTTGATGGTCTTACTTTCTAACTTGGTAAATATGTTAAGATTCTAATTTATATTGTCTGCAAGAGGACACAGTTAAAATAAAATGTTGGAATTATTACTCTAAATGCAAGTTAGGGATTGAGTCTTAAACTTGAATGACAAACTCTACCACCTCACGATTAAAATAAGTGTGAGAAGCACGTTATCACATACTTTTTCCTCTCTTAGGAACAGGAGCAAGTAGGAGCTCTCTGGAGTAGGTTCATTTGCATGAGAAATCAAACAAGACATTAGTCTATTTTCGGATGTGAACCATACTATTACTGCTATTTCAAGAGAAAATTAGTGAAAAGACAGCACTCGACTAGGTGACAGTTGGACTGACCCAGAACGAGGTAACGGTCGGAAAAAAGTGAATGATTCCTTTGTCGCAGATACATTCCGTTAATTTGACAACACATCTCTTTCAAAACTCAGGTGGATGCTCTCAGATTTAGATAGTAGAGGCACAGGAGCGAAAGAATCCGTAACTGAAAAGGAAAGTTGATACAATTTTCTTTTTTTCTTTTTTTTTTTTGTTGATGATCATATGAACTCCTGTGAAGAAGAACCAACATTTTCTTAATCAGTTCACGACTGTGTCTCTGGTCCACTACCATTTATGCACTTGGGGTTATCGCAGTTCAAATAGGAACTGTGTGTATGATGATTTAACTCAGGTTATTAATTGCTCAGAAAGTAGATGGGTTAGATTTAACTAACCTCTCTCTATGATAGGTTTTAAAGCTTTAGGCTCCGTTTGGCAACATATTAAATCACAGAGTTAAGAATCTTAAATCCAGGTTTATAGTGGCATATAGATTTTAGCCAAATGGGTCATTTAACTAACCTAAGCTATCGGATTAGAGTTGCGACGGTTGGAAAGGGGGTTTAACACGAATCTCAGCAAACAAGAGCAAATTAGGATTACAAAAAAGAAAGGGGAAAAAAGAAACAAGAAGAAGTCCACAAAACCTTTTTCCCAAATATGTCGGGAACTTGCGATTATCACAGGAATCCTATTTCTCCAATCCAATCTACCAAGGTCGCCTCTATTAAATTAGCAATCAAGAACCACCATATCTATGTATGAAAGAATAGAAAACTAGTAGTAAGCAGAATAAGGCTGTGGAAATTGCCTTGTTAAGAGGACACTAGGAAATGAAAATATTAAATGGTTCACTTCGTTTAGCTATACCCGTCAAGTTTCTATGATTATTAAAAAGACTATGTGTAGATTAGCTTAAGTTTTTTTTTAGGTTTTGTGTGTATGGGGTGTTTTTCTTTCTTTTCTTTTTTTTTTTTTGGGTGGGTGGGTTGGGTGGGGGGGGGGGTGTAATGGGATAACCAAAAAGTATCGTTAACATAACTGACAGACAAAACTATAGCATGTGAAGGAACTTATTTCTACATGTAAGAATAAAGGAGAAAAGAGTAGACTCCAAAGAGATAGAGTAAACATCAGTCGGTACAGGATCCACCCAAAGTAAATGCAAATAACCACATAAAACTTCTTCTCTTTCTTCTTTTTTTTGGGGTGGGGGGTGGGGGGTGGGGGGGGTGGAATATCTGATTTACACTGTCACCCGCAAATATAAAAATATTAAAAATACTTAGGGCTCTTCGTCAGCCAAAGAGCGGACATATTTAGAAGTTTACAGACCTGACAGATTTTAGGACAAATTTTCAAAACCAACCTATTTACAAATTTAATACAGAAAACCCACTTCCAGATTTATTGCAAAAACCGACCTGGTTTCAGCCTTGGCGCTGAAACCAGGTCGGTTTTTTGTACTGGGAAACTTCACGGGAGTTCAACTCCCGTGAAGTTTCGGATAAAAATTTTCAAAAACCGACCTGGTTTCAGCTCCAGGGCTGAAACCAGGTCGGTTTTTGCAATTAAATCTGAAATAGGTTGTTTTCTGCTATTAAATTTGTAAATAGGTTGGTTTTGAAAATTTGTCCTCCAAATTTATCAAGTAGATCAGAAGGACAACAGCATGGAAAAAAAAAACACACAAGCACATTACGTAGCACCTTTGTGAACAGCATTAATAATTAGATGGCATATGTCTGTCATTCAAAAAATCTAAAGAAGAAACTAAATGCAGCAAAATGTATGAGCAAATCGAGTAATTTCATCAGCCTTTAAATCCAACTTCCATTCGATAACTAAAAATAACAGCAGAAGGCATTTACTGGGGAAGGCTTTATTTCAACCAACTGGAAAAAAAACATTAAGACACAAATTAAGAATTCATACATGAAATAGAAGTATCAAATTTATGCACGGACTCCAATCCATTTCAACAAAAGTTATACATATTTAAAATAGAATCAGAACTACTATAGAGACTTTCCTTCAACATAACTAGGGCATGTTTGGATGGGGGGTAATGAGGGG